GAGAGATTCGGGGCCAATTCAGAGATTCAGCAATAGGCTATACAGGTTTCCCTCATATAAAGTGAACCTACTTTATAATGTAACGAGTAGGGATAGGTTCCAAAGGCGGTGAGGGAGGGAGGGAGTGAGGCTGGGTCTAGCGAAGGGGTGGGGGTGCCGGTGCCATTCCTAGGGCTACACTGTGCTCCGCCTGTCCCCCCGCACCTGGGTTCTGCCTGTCCTCACTCACCCTAGCTCCTGGGCTGCACCGTGCTGTGGTGCAGGCAACTGTTGTCAGCTAATCCTAGGACTGCTGCAATAGGAGTTGGAGGGAGTGGCAGCAAGCAGAACCCTGGGTGGTGCAGGATGCGGCGCAGCTTGTCCACACTCACCCTAACCCCCGCTGCAGCAGCCCTGGGAGCAACTGGTGCCAGCTGCAACAAAAACTGCCAGTTGGTGAGGTGGGGGGAGGCAGGGAGCACCTCTTGCTGCTCCGCACCCCCTGGGAGGGCTGCGGGGCTGTCAGGCTCTTTCTGGGGGTGCATGCCTCTGGATCTGGATGTGGGATGACAACAGGCTGCCACTGCAGGCTGGGGCCGGTGGTGGCACCAGGCTGATTCTTCCCGGTGCTCAGGGCGGGTGCGCTGAGTGCCGGGAACAGCCCAGCGCCCCTGGATGTGGATGCAGGATGACAGTAGGCTGCTGCTGCAGGCTGGGGCTGGTGGCATGACTAGGCTGTTCCTGGTGCCCAGGGCGGGTGCACCAAGCACCAGGAAGAGCCTGGTGCCACCGCCGGCCCCAGTTTCCAATTCAGTTCGGAGCTTTTAATGGGTTTCCTGATTCAATTCAGGATCAGAGATTCATCCGCCGAATAGGGCCAAATCTCCTCCAAATCTAATCGGCTACCAAAGCTTCACACAGCCCTACTAGCTAACAACTAACTGTTAACATTTAGCATTTTCTAAAGGTATCCAGTCTGCATTTTGATAAAATAAGTCTATGTACACTGCCTTTATTATACAGTAAAATACAAGCTGGAGAAATCATTACATCCAAACATTATTTAGAATATTTCATCCAGTGCATCCACATACACAAACTATTTACATCATCATTATCTGTATTATGAAATAGGGGACTAGTATCCAGAGCCTAATGCAAGTAACAAAAACAACAACAACTTTTCTCACCTTCTAAGGCAAGTCAGAAATTACAAATTTAGTCATGATCATTATATCCAAATGAATGTAGGAGCAATGAAAGGATCTCTGGGAAAACAGAAAATCTGGAAAGCAAGGATCAGAGTAGCCATAATATAACTATAGGTCATGTAAGTCAGTATATACAATGATATGTTATGTTTTTCATCAAATACATTAGGGATGGAAAAATCCCAAAAGGATCTTACACTTTTAAGTACATAATGGAGACACCGCATTCATGCCCACATATGATTCACTTTGGCTTTCCATAGTTTTGCCTGCCAGAGTCATATATGATATGAAATTATTTTTTTACTAAATAGCTTGCATACCACTACCACTGAGAATGTTATTTTCTCTCTAGGTTGAATGCCAAGAACATCACCAAATACATCTATTAGTCTTGGACAATTACTCTTTTCCATCACCACTCTAGAGAGCAAATTGTTCTCATCAGTAATTGCACAAAACAACTAGTTTCTAAACATAAAGGAAAATAAAGAGAATGGTTGCTACTGGTTCCAGCAAACCATTTCAATAATTTATCATCTAATTAAATATTAAAGCCATTCTAACCTCATCCAAAACATTGCAATATATTTTTCTATTTGCTAAATTCAAAGTATATCATTCATTAATATGGAATCTATTCCTTCTCTTTTGAAAACATTTGTTTTTAGTTAAAGGATACTGTGAAAACCAAATGATAAAAAGGAAGGCTTTCTTGTTGGTAGAGCTAAACACTGAAGCAAAGCTGAGCCAGAAATCAAAGATACTTATTGAGATTTCATCAGCGTGAAGCCAAAGACATATGTCCCATGTGATGAAAACACTGTTCAAATAGTTTATTTCCAACATTACAGAATTGCCAGGTCTCAGGATGCACTGCTCCTAATGAATTCAATGGCACCCCCTCATATCCTATGTTCCAGCCTGGCTCCAGCCTCACCATATGTTTTCTGACTATTATCTCCTGTCTTCCTCCTCCTCTGCATCTTTTCATCCCATGGTTCTGCCTCCTCCTTCTTCTATTCTTTCCCTGATTCTCCTTGTTCTACCTCCTCCCAGCCTGGCTCCTTACCCCTTTGCATTCCAGTCAGGCAGCTTCTCCCATATCATCACATCCAAGGCTCCAGCTGGAGGAAAAGCAGAAGCCTCCTTCTCAGTCCCTCTACTCTGCACCAGCACAACCTCTGGTGGCCAAAAAAAGCAATTGCAGAAAAATTTTACTCAACCCCTGAAGCCCTGGGGTGGTGCATGCATGGTAGAGATTAAATGTGTACAGAGAATTTAGCCACCAAACTCTAACAAATATCTTCTAATCATGTGTGAATGGAGGGCTTTTTTGAAGGATGATAACTAAGCCAAAGTTAACCTCTGAATAAAATTCCTTGGGAAAGGCAAAGGCATATCAAGATAACTTGGTTAGAAAGTCCCTGCTAAATTTCAAGTACATACTCTAAAACATGGTGATGTTGGAGCTTCTTAATTAAGTTTTAAAGTTGGGGGTGGGTGGCGGTTAACATGGGCAAAACACTGCTTTCCCCTAGCTTCATTCTTTGAAACAGCTGAACTATTTTAGGTGAATGTTAAACAAACAAACAAAAACTCACCCTGAAGCTGACATCTGGCATGGAAATTAAGTGAAATTGTTTAAGTTTGCCAAAGACATATGCCACTGAAAAAAAATTTTCTTTGAACGGAAGTTGTTAAGCAAACTTAATTGTAGATGGTACTACCCACAATAAAAGTAAAAGGTCCATCTGAATCTTGCTGACGAAGGCATGTTATTCCAGTCACCAATGACACACACTAAAGTGATGTAGCTAGCAACGCATCTATCTGTCAGAATGAGCAAGTACCATTTACAACTTGGTACAGCCCTGTTCAGAGTGTGATGAAACCTCTTCTTCTGTTTCCATGTGCTTGCCATTTGAGTCATCTCTCAGCCATCCACAAATACATCTCTTCCCAAACAGTACCCAGACAAAGCCCCTTGGACCAAAGTGTTCAGGTAACTGAGCAGCCTTGCAATCTTTAAATGTCTCTTATAAATTTAAGCTAAGTACGCGCATTCAAAAAGCCAGAGGCAGAATAGATCCAATCTATGTGGGTTTCTTTAAGCTGCACAGATTAGATCCAGAGTCAACTGGAGTGTGCCCTGAAGCAACTGCAGGCTGGGTCCTCCAAAGAGATGCTCTGGCACCTGGCCAGAGTGTCTCTATGGCTGCCCTGTGCCCCTGCTGCCCCAGCATGCTGCTTCAGTGTGTTAAAGCAAATAGGAATGGGACAAGGCTTACCCCCCCAGTAAGTAGGGGTGTGGGATTGTGTGCGTGTGTGTGTGTGTGTGTGTGTGTGTGTGGATGTGGGGGGACTGCTCAGGAGGGGTGGGTCCCCTGCCCCCCCTACCAGTCTCCCTTTCCCCCAACAACAGCAGCAGCAGCAGCAGCAGCAGTGGCCCTCAGCGCACTTAGGGCCTGCTACTGGCAGAGCCCCTCCAGTGGTGTGGTGCAGCCCCAGCTGCCTGAGACCACCTGTGCCATGTGAAGCCAGCTCGGCCAGGCCTAGGGCACATGTCTTCGGGCAGGACTGGACCATTGTTGCTGCTACCCAGGGCCCCCAACACCGCACACAAGAGCCATGTGCCCTTTGGCTGGGCCAGGCTGTTCCACCCACTGCTTTGTGGCTCTGAGCAGTGCCAGCCCTTGCTGTTCTGCTCCCTGCACCTGTACCCAGGCCCCAGTGATCCACGCAGGCCAGATCTAGCCTGCCAAGCACTTTCATCTGGCCTATGGGACCCCCCAACAAACTGTGCCCCACCCAGACCTTCCGCCCACGAGGGTGGGAGTGAGGCACCCACGTGTACACACAGCCCCCAAAACGTACCCTACTGCCTTGCTCCCACCCTTGTGGGCTGAAGGGTCCAGCTGGCTAGCGTGCAGCTTCTGTGCATGGCTACTGCTGTCATAGGGCCCGGGACCTCCTTGCTTCCCCAGTCTCCTGCCGAATCCAGGCAGTGGGTAGGGAAATGGCGGGGGGCAGGGCTGCAGCTGGGAGGGAGCACAGAGCATGGAGCTGGGGTAGGCAGCGTTCGAATGTGAGGGAGAGTGGTGCACAGCCCCAGCAGGCAGTGGAAGCAGCAGTAGGCGGGGCGCTCAGGGCACAGGCACCCAGTGGGGCATGGCTCCGGCCAGTGCTGTGCATCGCAGCGAGGGGCTCTGTCTCCGCGTGGCTGCCTGGATTGCCAGCACTCCCTGGCTCTCACATGCAGCCTCTGAACTCACACAGCAAGGAGGGAAGCCCCACATGCTGGAGCCAGGTGCCTTCCCTGCTGGGGCTGCCCGGAGAGAAGCTTCGGGCTCTGGAGCTGGCTGTCTTCCCTGCCTGGCAGGGGAAGACGTCTGGGGCTTCCCTCCCCTGCAACACACCCCTGTGACTGACTTCAAATTGTCTTGCAACATCGTAGTACTGTACATCTGAAATCTGGTATAATTACCTCAGTATCATTGGATTCAAGCATGTACATTTAAGCAGATGCTTGCATTCTCATGCACTATACTATATTCACAGTGCCTCAGACATAAAACCTTTCTACATGACTTTACTACTGTTCAGTTATAAAATTGGTATGGGGCCTAGAAGTGTGGATGGAAGGAAAAGCTGCTTAAAGTAATGTTAACCTACTAATTCTACACTCTCACTTATTCACTGTGACTGAAATTATAGGGAATTATATGTGCTGTAAAGTGAAGAAAAGCTAGTGACACTGTAAAGAAAGTGCGATAGGAGGTAGAAATAAAAAGTATTAAAAAAACTTACCAATACTTTTAAAGCTGGGCCAGTGAAGAGAAGAACAACCACGAAGATTCAAACGTAACACATATGGACGCCACTTCTGCAAAATATTAACTACTGTTTTGTCTTGAATCTTGTGTTTTACTGCAGAAAAATCAATCTAAAAAATTAAACAATGCAGATATCTATATATCGTACAGGTATCTAAAATATAGACATACATGCAAAATACATCTGATTATTTAAAGAACTAAATGTTAAAAATCTGCTGTGCAGTCTCAACATCCAGGTCTTGCAAACACTATGCACATCCTTATCTTTACATATATGAGTAGCCTCACAGAGTTCATTAAAAATATTCATGCATATAAATAAAGCATTTATGAAACTAATGCCTAAAACTTATATTTACAAACTGGGACATTCACTAGTCCACATCTATGAGCATATGACAGCAGGATATCTGAACAAAATAAAACCCGCAAAAAAACAAACCAGGGCACACACACCACCACTTGTTTATTCATTGTTTCTTTATGATGTATAAAAATTTAAAACCATTAAAGCTTTTTGCGATTAATTTTTTATCTTAGAAATATTAGGAACATAAAGTCTTTTTTTTCTAGTGAAATGTCATAGCTCTGGTGTCTACTGTCTAGCTATCTTTTTAGTCACAAAACACTAGTCTCTTAATAAAGTGGAATAATCGTTCCAGTGACATCACCAGGAACATTCCAATTTCTACAGACCTGTTGACTGTTTTTATGGCAAGATGAGACCTGTAAAACTTGTTGGGGTTTCTGGTATTAAGAAATAAACTAAAACATACTACATTCTTACACAGTCTCTTACAGAAAGAAAAGGTACTACTGATGATTGCTTGTTTTTGTCTTTTTTTACTACTTAGCATCATGTGGTAAGAATTTTGAAAAAATAATATGTGATTATTACACACAGTATCTACACATATGTACTTTTTCAGACAATAAAATTAGATACTCTTTCAAATAAACTACTACAGCTTTCTGAAATAATTATGTGATTCCGAATTTTGTGAGGTAGAAGTTTATTAGGAATTGTCTAATTTGTACGCTTTAAAATGGAATCAGTGATGACACTACTGAAAATAAGAAATGAGCCTTCATATTTTCTAATACTATTATCAGTGTTCTACAGAAGAGATATAAAACCTTAAATTGCCATTTTCACTTAACTGTTCTTTTAGTTATGACAGAAACATTTAGCATTGTAGTTTGGATTTTAGCATTTTTCTTCAATCATATATCAAGTTTACCACTTCTGATTTTAAAATGGCAAATATATGTATCATATCTTGAATGCAAGAAATATAGACACAAACTGACTGAATGGATAAGAACTGTAAAAAAAAAAAGGATAAGGACCCAATATTTTATATCTATATTCAACATATAAATATATATTTAGTTCCAGACTTCTCTTTTGCTTATGCCAGTTTTATAGTGATGTACAGAAAACTGAGAAGAGAGAAGAAAAATAGCTCCACTGATATCAATGGTAATTTGCAATGCACTTCGATATGGACAACATTTCACTTGGGGTGCTTAGGATTTTTAAACATAACCTGATCATTTCATCCTTACTCTCTGAAACTTGAAATCAAACATTACAATTGGTACAATGTCAGTTTCAGACTGTCATACTTACATCACTCCATAATGAACTATTCTGTGTGACTGACATCCAGGTTCTGCTAACTTGAGCACACCTTGCTAGATCAATTAAGTCTGTGTAGTGAAAAATCTACGTTGGAAAAAAAAATAGAAATATTGTTTAAGAAAGACCACTAGACTGAAAAACAAACAAACAAACCAACCAACAATAAAACATCAACATCCAGTACTTACTCATCAGTCCAAAATAGTAGACTTATAGTTCTTTTCTCATCAAATTTCACATCTCTAGATACAGTATACCAAACTAGGAGTCATTTTCTCCTCTGGAGCCATGTAATAATGTCAGGGTAAGATAGGATGCAATGGATTTAAATTGTAACAAAGAAGATTTAAATTCTCAGGAAAAACTTTCTAACTAAGAACAGCAGGACAATGGAACAAGCTGCCTAGGGAAACTGAGGAATCTCCTTCACTAGAGACTTTCAAGACTTTGTCTGGAATGGTCTAGAAATAGGGCGTCCTGCCTTGCGCAGAGGGTAGGACTAGATGACTCCAGAGATCCTTACCAATCCTATAATTCTATAAGGCATTTTGCAGTCATATTATGATCAAATGCTTATTAAAGCAGTCAAGGATGCCATTTTACCAATTTAGTCAAATAAGGCAGATTTTTAAAGGAGACACAAGCAGGATACAAAGGGCACACCTACACAAGATGCTACAGCGCCATAGTGACCGTTGGCAAAAACCGTGACGCCATCGCTACATCACCGTAGCAATGCATTCTCTCGCTGTAGTGCCTTGCTTTGGCAACGTAGCAGCCAAAAATAACCATGCATGGCCAACTTACAGCATTATGGGTTGTTACTGCACCATCTTTTAGTACTTCCAAAAGGAAGTACTAAATGGTGACGCAGTACCAAAGGTGCTGTACGGCCACGTGTAGACACACCCAAAATGTCTTAGCTTGTAGCCCCTTTCTCAAGCTTAATTCAGCAAGGGCAAGTTCAGCTATGAAATTATCTTACTGATCTCTGTTAAGAGATTGGTAAAATATTTGTTTGACTGGTAGTGTGTTAGTAGGCACTGGGTAATTTTCCTTTGGTCACAATCCATACTCTAGAAATACCAGTCTGAATTTCCTATGCTACATCCCTCTTGCATTACTGCTTTCCAAAAGTGCTTCTTCATAAAAATTTGGAAGTGGCAGAATTGGCTCTTTCCAGAGATTATAGCCTGAAATTAGTCATTCGGATGGAACATAAAAGAGATGTTATTAGAAAAACTACAAATTTTGGCCCTCTCATACTATATTGGTGAAAATATGAAATAACATATAGTAACACCAAGAACTTGAAAATCACCCATGAACAATGAGGTGTTTTCACCATATTTCTCAAAACAATGGATAGTGGGATTTTAATGTTATTTCCTAACATTTTTAAATTCAGGTGTTCATCTAGTGCCTAAAGGCTAGAGCCAGAAATTAAACATAAATTGATATGAGTGATCCGAAACATAGGCACTGAGCACGTGGGGACCCAAGGACCCTAGCCCCACTCAGGAAGAGGGTAGGGTGACTACCCATCCTTAATTGGGCAGGAAAGTCTTGAAATGGAAACATCAAGTCCCGGTCCTGGGCTGTAGGACTCAGGGACAGCATTGGTCCTGGATTCCCAGTATTGTGCAGGGATCCGGGTTTTCTATTCACCATGGAAAAATGTGGGAAATGGTGGGTTTCCCCTTGCAGGCTGGCAGAATTACAGACTGCAAGGGGCTGTGGGGAGTGAGACACAGGGGGTACCACGTATATGTGTGTGAATGCACATGTGCATGTGGCCAAGAATACAGCCCCAGACAGCAGTGGAGAGCAGCTCCCCCAGACTTAACCTGCAGGTAAGTCTATGACAGGGTGCAGATTGAGACTCCCACAGTGAGGGAAGTAGTGGGGCAGGGGCTGGGCGTAGGGACCCTGCCCAGCCAGGTCGGTGCATGGGGCCCAGGGCTGGTAGCGTAGAGTGGAACAGAGCCATGGGAGGCTCATTCATGGGGTGGGGGGCAGCTCCCTGCCATGGTGCACACTCCTGGGGAGGGGGGAATGGGGAGGCATGTGCCTCCCAGATTTATGCATGGGGTGGGGGCAGATGTGGGCTGCCCACTGCAGGCTTGGGGCTCCCTACCCTGCCACCCTCCCCCCAGGAGCCCCACACTAGCCACACTGTTATGGTGAGGTGCCCCCTGCCCATCCAGCAGCAGCGGAGGCAATGGCATGGAGTTGTGCCCTCCGCTACTGCAGGAGGGCAGAGGGAGCCTCACCACAGCAGGGGTGCATGACTCCCAGAGGAGTGGCAGTAGGGTGGGAAGCCCAAGCCTCCAGTGGGCAGTCTGCGTCTGCCCCTGCCTCCCACCCGCTCAGCTCTGCTCTGGCTGTGCCATTGGGGGGAGGGGCATCATCTTAGCAAAAATAAAAGATGGTGCCTAATTGGAAACCAGTCCAAATCTGTAACACAATAGTTCAGTACACATAAACTGCTTTCATTAATGGCCAAAAACTGGTTTAAAATAAATCTGGATAGATGTAGTATCAGACTTAACTCACTGAAGTTAAATCAGTTTACTGAACTTCTGTCCCAGATCCCCTCCAGATTCCAGTTAACTCACAGTCCCCCAGCATCCCAGGATGCTTTGCATCTCCCCTGCAAAGGAGGATTTGCAGGGTGGGTGGCCTAGCCTTGGCCCAAGCTGTCTGCTCCAGCCAAGCAGGGAGGCATGCTCTAGACCCCCACCCCCCACCCCAGCTTCTGGCCTGGGCCATTGCAGGCATGTGGCTGCATTTCCAGAATCAAAAATGAATGTCTGTTTGCTTGCTTATCACTTCAATCTACACAGTTTAGACTAACCTACAAAGATTAAATTGATTTAGCCGTGGGCGTTTTAACTGTCTGTACTTGGCCAAAATGTTCAGAAATCCAGGCTCTGATAGACCAGGTGGGAAACAATACACAAAATGGGGAATGCCTCATAAACAGCACTGTACCAGAAACTGCCTCTCATATATTGAGGGAATGGCTATTCAAGTCACTGTCATTGTTAGGGTCCAGGGCTCAAGAGAAGACAAGAAATCTGCCAGATCAGCAGGGCTTTAAAATTGAAGCTAACATTTTGATTTCCGCCTTGAATTACCTTTATGGATTGTTTTTAAATATGTAATTTAAAAGCCTTCAAATTTAGCCAGTATCAGTTTTTAAATATATACATCTATAGAACTGCATCAAATGTCAGAAGTCAAATCCTATCTTACTAAGGGCCTGATCATCATCTTTGCCAATTCTCACTGAAGTCAAATGGGAGTGTCAAGTGTGCTGTGAGAGCAACAGAAGTGAGGCATGAGATTCCCCCATGTGAGGAGGTAAGTGCTCTCTTTCCAGCACCCTGCACCTACCTTAGCTACACCAGCAGCACCTGCATATGCTACTCTGTGGTCTGTCACTGCTACTGTCTTCTCCTACCTATCCCCACCCTAGGCAACCTCTGCTTGGGCCAATCTTTATGGAGACACTGGCCCCATGTTGTCATGGCCCCACCGCTCCTGGGGTCTCCATGGAAACCAGCCGGAGTGACATGGCAGGGGCTGCTGGGAAATGGAGCCTGTCATGGGCCCAATCCAGCCCAGGGGCTGGACTTTACCCACCCTTGGGATAAGCTGTAAAGGTACACAGCAGGGGTCAGCAATCCCCAGCAGGTGTGCCAGAGCATGGCACGCAAGGCCATTTTGCTCAGCACACCACCGCAGGCCAGGCTGTAGCCGGGGGTCTGCAAACAACTGCACTGGGCTCTGTAGCCCTGGCATCAGCTCCATACAGCCAGCAGGTGCATGCACACCTCAGAGCAGATGGTGGGGTGGGGCCGGGGTTGCGCTACCTCAGGCCCCTCCCTGCCATCTGCTCTGAGGCATGTGTGCACCTGCTGGCAGTACAGAACTGATGTAGCGGCCCTGAAGCAGGGGCAGTGCAAGTCTCTTCCCAGTGGGCAGGGGCTGGCAAGGTCTGGGCTCGGCTGAGGCAGAAGATTCCACCCCTCCCAGAGCTGCCACTGCCCACCCAACCCGTGCAGCTGGGCCTGCCCCACTCTCACCCACTCCAAGCCCAGCCCCAGCCTACCCCTCCTCATTAGGAAGAGGCTGGCACTGCCCTTGCCAGGAGCACCATGCCTTTGTGGGGTCAGCTCTGTGGGGCGGGCAGCAGCAGCAGGGGTGCTGGGAGGGGTGGCAATGGGGGGCTTTGTTCACTTGGCTTCCCTCCCCTCCCCCAGTAAGGTACTGGGAGACGAACTGTACCTCGCATAGCAAAAATATCATGGGTGGGGGGGAAAGGAGAGGTGCCATTTTGCTCAACCCCTGTTGCTCATACGGTACGGTACGGGGTACAGGGCTACCTGGCTTCTATGGCTGGGCTGTGCCTGCTGTAGCAAAAATTCCCAGAGGCAAAGAGCATTGTGGTGCTGCTGCTGCAGCTGGTGTGCAGGAAGTTTTCTTCCTTAACTGCAGTAGCAGCTTCTGCCAGAGTGCAGGTAAAGTACCTTTCCACCCCCCATCTCTCCAATGGTCAGCACTCTGACCAGAGAACTGGGGAAGCTCACTACACCTCTGTTAAGGGCTACTCACATCTGTGGTATCAAGTCAAAGTGCTTCCCAGTTTAAGTTTAACATGAACATACAAAAGCTTGACAAAAATGTATGAAAAACAAGCTTAATACTTTACTTTTCTCATGTTTTCCTCCCTGAATAAAATAAGGCATTTAAAAGTCAAAGCCTTTTGGGGTGACAGTTTATTAATTTTAATAGTGATAAATGTGAAAGGCTCATTAACAAGACTATACTGAAGTAACATAAGGCCATAGATATTTATGAATCATCTAAATGTTACAGTGTCATTTTTTATTAGGCACTGGTATATTAGAACAATGCTAGAGATGGCTGAAGATATGATCTCATTAGGTTTGGCATTAACCCAGGGAGAGTTTGGACCCAATTCTCTGAAATACTAACGATGAGTCCAAAGAGTTTTTCACGTCAGGAAATTTAACATTATTTAACCTTTTTTTTTTTAGGGGGGGGAGGGGGAGGGA